ATTCTAACATAACCATCATTATCAACATTATGCATGAAGTGCCATCGATTATTTAATCTACTAAACATATTCCACAGTAAAATAGATTACAGATAAAAGGATTGACAAATTCCCCATCAGTTATAGCAAGATAACATTTCAGTTAAAGTTGTTTGTTAGATATATACATGTTTGAAGGATAGCTATCTAGTTCAAACAAATCCCATTGTATTTTAGCAAACGAGCAACCTGCTGGACATCTAAAACTCAATTTTCATAGTCAAACATTCCATAAATCAAGATACTTGATACTAGAGTAATCATTAAACTAGTCTTTACTTCTAATTAGTATATCGTCTTCATATTGTTTTCGTTATACAATCATCTATATCATGTTTACTTAACTTTGTAAGAAAGAAACTTTAGTAACAGGAACAAAAGTATTTGTTTTCTTTTTGACTGTCTCCTAATTCACATTTGGAAAAAAAGTGAAAGAAAAAGAAAACAGTAGAAATTCAACTTTATTGAATAAATAATTTTAAAAAAGCGCAAAAACAACAAAAAAAGTTTTATTATTAACTATTTAAGATACAAACAATTAATCCGATATTTTAATTATATTTAAATTATAGATAGAAATAAAAATCATCAATTTACATTTTCATAGTATGATTCAAGTGAGTTCAATATCATACAAATTCAGAATTTAATAATTAAATTGAAATATAATGATTATTAAAACAATCCATTGTTGATTATGAATGAAAAGTTAATATGATAAAGTCTATTTTATTGTAAGTAGTGTATATACATATTATAAATGTACTGTTTTTCATATTATATACATGTACGGATAATTTTGGAGACATGATTCTTAATATAATAACAATAATAATAATAATAATCCGATAGTAATTGCTGAATTCTCTTGTCGTTTACATAAACTATTGATTTGTAAGTACATAATGTAGGATGAATGGACTAAATTATGCATTGAGTTTTTCTTTATTGATTCTGTACAATTACAAAATAACAAAAGTTGGTAGCCAGAATTAGGACCAACTTAACATAAAAAATATACTGTTGAACAAATGAAAGTTTAGAATAAAATGACAGAATCAATGCAGTAACTTAGCTGTCAACATTATTGATAATGTAATGAAACACAAAAAATATCTAAAAAAAAAGAATAAATCACATGGGAGAAGAAATACAATGAAAGAAATACTGTTTCTTAGAATTTATTGAAAATAATTATGGGTAGATTTTAAAAATCTGTTTTACTAATTGGGATTATATACGAAGAAGAGATACTATTAATAGAATTCGTACTTCCTTTTGATACAAGACTTGTAGCAGTAAATGTAGATGTTATACAGGATTTTGCTAGAGACTGACGACTAGCTAAATTATTTTTATGATCTGAGATATTTTTGAATGCGGTATTGGGATTACTTTTCGTAGTTGATGCTGAAGATGTTCCAGTTAGACAATTTAAACGATTTGTTTGTCCTAGGAGAATTCGTAAACGAGGCCTGCCACAATCAGAACCAAAAGGATCAATAAGTGGAGCTTCGTGAGGCTAAATAAATATTTAATATTGAAAAATATAGTGTTATTGAGAAAAAGAACAATTAACAGTGTATCATATAAAAGATTTGCATTGATATGAACCCACACCAATTTTAAAGACAGTTTTCATAAACTACGAAAGTCGCGAGGCATATATTGATAAAAACCATAGCAGATTGGTGAGTGTATGCTCGGAGAGTTAAGATATTTTTAATTTCGATGCCAGATTATGACAAAGATAGGCCAGTCCTGTTTACGGCAGAGAAAATGGATACAAAGTTTTACATTGAATAAAGTACTAGATATGAAGTAATAGGATGAGATTTAGAAAGCTTGTTATTCACACTATAAAAAATCGTACAGACAGAAAAACATCTGTACGATCTCTTACAATGAAAATATTTCCCTTCATAGTGTCCCGGTTGAATTAAGTAATCGAGAAAACCTATTTTTTACTGTAACGTTAGATACCCGGACTCAATCTACAGAAAGTCAGAAACCTGATTTTACATGTTAGGGGGGAGCATGTCAGCAAGGTGTATTTGTAATTTTAAAGGAACTGATAATTATAAAACAAGGCAAACTATTTATTAACCAATGTGTAAAAAGTTATGCTTTTACATTTATCTTACATAATTGTTTTATCCTTTCGTTATTTTTGAATAGAATAAAATCCTATCCTCATCAGTTAATTACACTCTAATGTTATTAACTTAAGTACACAAGTTTTATTTACTTCATAACTTTGATAAACTAATCATCGGTAATTTGAATCTATTCTTGTATTTAATCACTTTGTTTAATGTACTTGTAATATCAATTCTTTATTCTCTCAAACTTCTTATGTCCTCTTGTCAAGCTGATGATTCCTTTATTTAATCCGTTAGTGTTAAATTCAATTGATGAACTTAATTAATTGCAAGCCTTTGACACTAACAAGTAAAGTTGTCATAATACTATTCCAAGGAAACACAATTGTACAACATTTGAAACAAAACTATAAAAAAGTTTCTGCTCCGAAATATTCGTTCTATGTTTTGATGGAAATCATAAATTGAATTAAGAAATATAAATACGAAATATGCGATTTTCATGATATTACTTTAACAAATGAATAAATAAATAAAGGACGACTTCAGTATATATTTGAAGAGATACTTTCTTTTAAACCATTTGAGAAAATTGAAATAACAATCTAGCACAAGAATTTCTATAATATTGACATGAGAGAGTTATATCTATGAAACGTGTGATCTGCTACTAACCAATGATGAGTCAAATGTAAACTATGTATTCTCTTTGGTTAGTTCACCAAATTCATAATTATATTAACTCGTTTATTTTTTATTTTGTTAGTTTCTTCTTACTATGATGATGTGAAGTATGGCAACTTGAAACAATAAGCATTTACGACTTGTCCTACATTGTTAATGATTCAATGAAAAGACCAAGTAAAAATGAAATGCTAACTCAAAGAAATGGATGATCAAATATTATAATACAAAAATATGCTCATGTTAATTTTACTGAAAGTTAGTTATGAGTCATAGTTTATTAGTTTAGATAAGTAACAAAATAAGGAATGACAAAACTGATCCAACAAGATGAATTTTATACATACTAATGAAAATTTTTAGGTGATAAAAGAAAAATATCAACAACTAGATTTACTGAATGCAAATTTCAGCAAATTAACTCTTGGATCAAACAAACTTTCAAAAATCATCATTAGATACAGGTCAATGGTGTATAGTGTCTAACAGACCTTCTACTGATTGATTCACACGATTACTGTCTATTTATTTTAATGTTATAAGGATAAACTCACTTAGCTATAACTTTTCACGGATTGACATGCAAATAAGTGATAATAATCCATAAATATTATCAATATTTCTCGGAACAAATTAGGTAATAGAAAACTTGTTTATTTATAAGCGTTCAATCTAAGAGTTAGAGATACTTCTCAATTGTATAATAAATTAAAGATAATGAATTTCACTTTGGACTAATATACGCATTCAGAAGTAATTATTAAAGAATATAATAAGTCAAACATCAACAATAACCATATGAAAATGAAAGACAATCGCGCAAATTCTATATATATATATATATATATATATATATATATATATATATATATATATTCATCTAAAGATATTTTATTTGTTTAAACATTTATAGTAATATAAACCAGTAGTGTTAAAATAATGAAATAATTATTTTGAGAATGGGTTTTGTGGAGAGTTTTAGAAATTTCACAGATTGAAATCATGATCCAGGACGAAACGGCCGTCCAGTGCTTCCAGGTTTTCAATAGTGGTCTAACTTCAACTGACTCATGATTTCAACCTGTGAAATGATTATTTGTTTATGTAAAACTATTATCAAGTAAAGATTTCTGATATTTATTTTAATAAAAGTTTGTAAACTATGCATTTAAGTAATTTATCAGAAAAGAAAATATATTTTATTACTAGATGAGTTTTGTTTATAGTGAAAATACTAACAAAATTGTTTTTAAATTGATATTTAGTGAAATAAGATAGGAAATGATCTCTGTAGTTGTTATCAGTAATAATGAGTGTAAATAAAATGTGAAATAAAAATCTAATTTAGTTGAAGAAAAAACTATACAAACATTCAATATTTACCTGCATATAATTTTGATTAATAACAGTTGAATATTCTGTGAAATTAACAGGAAAAACTTTATAATAAATAATTAACTTATGCTAAATTCAACTTGTTGTTAGAAAACAATTGGTAACTAACTAATTAAATAAAATAACATTTTAGAAGGAAACCTAAGGAAAAAACATATAACATCCATATGTTTTCGTAGTCAATAAATTATCCAAATTCTTTTTAAAAACTAAATCACTTTGTATAACAAATTGATATTCACTGAAGAACTAATACCAAACAAGCAATACAGAATCTGTTCTGTGGAATGCGCTTATAATCAACCATACTGGGTTAAGACCAATCCTTTTAAGTGTCGTGACGAACATTGTTTCAATACAAATAAAATGGAATCAGACGGTTTACATGTTGAAGCTCATCCAATTTGCCATAAAGCACTATGATTATACAATGCCATAATTGGTAAATGTCTCATTTTAAATTGACGTTCAATTCAATTTAGTCAAACTACACATTTTCTAACATCTATTCAATCATTTAACCAAAGTAATAAGACTAAGAGTGTGTTGGAAACTTTAATGTTCATCATCGGTTGAATACACTCATAAATCATGCGCATATATGTTTTACTAAACTAGTTGAGACAGAGATTTGTGAGGGGTAACCTTAGTTAGATGATTTATCCACTCACTCAAAATAAGCACTCTCATGTTTACACTTCTTATTAGCCATAAACAGAGTTGAATTCACCATTACACCCATAAATTTATGTAACAAAGTTTTATTTTTTAATTTTTTTTATCTCAGAGAAAATAAAAAAGATCCTTTTTTTATTACTCCTAAAAAAATTAAAAGCGATACTCCCTATTCATTAAAATTTAATAAAATGGGCTAGTTATTTTCAGAAAATTTTGACAAGTTTAGAACATTAGGCAATGTCACGAACTTGAAGAACTGGTAACAAGTTGCACTGCGTTAACATACTGCACATTTCAAGATTATTTGTTAAAATAAATTCAAAGGAAGAAAGTATTACGAATACGTTTGATTGTCTTGACTAAAAATCAACCCAGTTCGAATGTATTAACACATATATTATCTACCCAGAAGGCTTGGTGATTTATGAATAATCATCGAAGCCGGTATTTTGAAGTTAGGTGAGAAATTATGTAGTGACGTAACAATATCTGTGGTACTAAATTATGAAAATATTTTTCTTAATACGAAGTAAATGCAGAATCACCGTTATGAAATGATAGAGAAATAAGGCAAATGTTAATGAGTAGATTCCATGATGTTCTTTAACTAAAATACAAAAATAGTAGACAAGTAAACATGAGTTTACTGGAAATATGAAGTTAACAGAAAGATAAGAGAGGAAGAGGAGTTATAAACAGAGAAATACAAATTAGGATAAGAAAATAATTCGAGCAAACATTCTCGGTACGTATAGTGTATGTATAGTGGATAGTGTTTCAAAACTCTAGAAAAATTGAAGACCTTTATTTGATAGGTTTCTTTCTAATCAAACATTCCTTATTAGGAGCACTGTTTGTTTCTTAAATCTTTTGCATATACAATCACAATAAACAGCAAATAAAATAAATGTACAAGAGTAACCGAGAGAATTTCTAGGGAATGGTTTTATGGATAAAAATACCCATATATTTTGAAAATAGTCAAAGTTTTATTCTAAAGAAGTGAATTTCACGTGATGCTAGAAAACTTGATAAGATAGAACCAAAATTTTTATTAGAACTAACAATGCTTGTATACAAAAAATACTGAGAAAACAATATAGTGATTGGTGCACTCTGGTTTGAAACGTCTCATACATACTCACAAACAATGACGACGACTGTCCACAAATAGATTAGGCCGATAAGAATTGGATACACATTATTAATATTAGATCAATATTGTGAATTAAATAAAAATATAGAAATGTACAACAATATATTTCATTCTAAGGATCGGATATTAACACCTATTTGATGATATCTCAAGGATTTTAAGTTGAATTTTACTTCAGAAGTAATTATTTTATGGAATTTGTTAACTCCTCAAATTTCAGTCTATAAACATTTATACTTAATGTAAATATGATACTTAAGGCCAAAATGTTGATATAAAGAAATAACGACGAAAATATGTTAACAACAATAATATTATTATCTTGAATAATAAAAAACTAACCTGAACAACTTGTCTAGGTGGAGTAGTTTTTCTACAATCTAATGAATTTAATCGTTTTAATGTAGAAGAATTGTCTGAACTTTTCTCAGATGTTTTTCTTACTAAAGTACTTGACTTATCTTCAATATCAGATGACCAATCTGAATTATCATTGGAGCTGTTAACATTAATGCCATTATTATTAATATTCAATCTCATTACTGATAATTGTTTGGATACTTGTGTATTTGGTAGTAATTTATTTGACTGTTCAGTAACATCTACTGATGTCTTATGACCACGTGTAAATACACGTGTTAAACGATTAGAATTCATTAAATCACCGGTAACTGTTAGAATTCGACGTTTCTCGCGTCTCGGTGTCAATCCAATTGGATTATTCAGTGTTAAATCGATATCCTTAATGGTTAAATTCAATGATTCAGCATCGCGAATAACATCAGTTTTAGTATTTTTGTTTTCATTCATATTAAATACGTTTCCATTCATTTTTACATGCTTATTACTATTATTATCCGTAGATGATTTGGTTTGAGATTCCGATGAATTTATCAACGATAAACAACTTCCATTGATTGCATTAGTTGATGTAATACTACGTTGCATTATACCATTTGTACAGCTTAGCCGACTAACACTACGTCGACGAAAAATTCTGTGCCTATATTTTGTGAAAAAAAGAGAATTTCATAATACAACTGATATTAAAAACGGATATATATTAACGAAGAAATATTACTGCTAAAAATTTATTGAGTGTATATTCATAATACACTGAATTAACATTAGTAACAAGTAAAGTCACTTCGAGTATTTATGTCCATTCATATGTAGTATGGTTAGAATTAAATAATGCTGGTTGTCAATAAAGATATCTGTCAAGTGTTTCATTATAAATTTATATTAAGGATTATTTAACACTCATTTTATCCTACAACACACATTTACAAGGTTACATAAAGTTACCTATAAATCTCAATTTTAACAATCAGTAATTTGGCTTTTGAAAAAGTCTAATGCTATAACGATGACCTATTAACTCAATGAACCCAAATGCTATTTATTTGCAAAGCCGAAAATTAGCTTTTATCTAAAGACTATGAAATCTTCCCGTCTTACATTAATAAAAAATCTACTTTGGCTTTGTATAGAAAAACAATTGAATGATTATAGTAAGACAGAATTCCTTTTTGACACAAAACAAAAAATTCTACCAACAACCGTTTGACTTACATAATATCATATCAAACTTTCACAATTCAGAAATCTATCAAATTAGTTCAACCACTAATGATAAACTACAGTTCTAAAAAACTAAAATAAAAACCTTTTTTGATAATACCATAGTAGTTTAGCATGGTAGATCCTTTATCTAAGTGAGATCAAAATAAATATTCAACCTTGAGTTACAGAAAACTTTTTCCCCGGAAACCGAAATTTACGAAATACACTTTGTTATGCTCCACCTCTGAGTGAACATTTAAACAGTTCATGAGTTCTCATAATTTTGATCATATATATATGGATTTAGGTATCCTGCCTTCTATCGAATCATTAAGAGACAAGTGAAATTCAAACTCTGGCCGGATGGCTTAGCAACATGCAATTTAACTTAATATTATTTGTGTTTTGTCCTTGCGTCACTATAAATTTTGGTTAATTTCAATTTTGTTCAGACTTTTATTAAAACTTAAGGTTAAGAATTGTTCATAACTTTATTAAACAAAATGCCTACAAATTATACAACTTTAATAATAATCTAAACGACATTAAATCCAGTTCAAACAGTACTCGATAGGTTCTTTAAAAAAAGATTATGACATAAACTGACTTTTAAATAATGCCTAATAAATAAAATTTTCCGTTTTTTCCGTTTGAGCTTTTAACGTTTCTTCAAATGAAATCAATTAAAATGTAAATGTTCATTATTTTAAAGTCAAAACAGTCGTCTGTATGCTAAGCTAGTTAGCAGGAGGAAGTTACATTGCATAAGCCATATATATATGTAAAACTTCGAAGTCGTGAACGGGCATTACTAAGATATTTGACTACAGTAATAGTCATGATGATTAACATTTCCTATTTAAATTATGAGAGCCATCATAAAACTATCTTCTCGAGAGGTTTGGCGAAAGCTGAACAGCGTATATTACGCAATACAACATTAATAAATTGAAGGGAGAGTACTTGTTACGGAAACACATACATCTTAGCGTGATTCGAACTAGAATAGAAAGTGGACAGAAGTTAAATTTGAAGATTTCGACTAACAAAAATATCTTTTGTAATAACCACTTTCTTTTCATTTCTATAATATGCACATAGTGAGAGTGGAATATGTGTTAAACATGATAATCTATTTTCCAGTTTATCATTCCATCATTAATACAGAAACATATTCAGAAATTATACCAAGCGGAACACATTGACAAACAATAACTAAGGTGAATAGCATTTCGAAAGATAACTAAACTATTAAAAATAAATAAAACCAATTTTCGGACGTAGATGTAGCACGGGAATTACCGTAAAATTTTCGAACCAATAGTTTCTGTCTCCATGATATATAAAAAATAGGTTTATAGCTCTGTTTTATCTTGACTAAAATCTTTTTCAGCTATTCCCCTCTATGAAATCCTATCATTCATTTGCATATGTAGTGACTATCCTTAACTGATGGTGGTATGAACAGTATTTCGATTTGTTAGAGAAATTTTTTGATTACGATTCTAACATTGGCTTTTATTGACATGAATAGTTGATCTCTAAATTATCAATATTGAAGTTTCAATACTTGACAATTAAAAAGATACCATAGATCATTTAAAGTTTGTTTTATTAAAATGTCAATAATAAATTATAGTTGATAAATCAGTTGAAATTCTAATCGATAGTATTGTTTATACGTAACTACTTGATTTGTATTATTGGTTTACGTCATAAAATGTGTCTCAGACATACAAACGTTGTGAAGGCACAATACAATTTTGAATAAAACATGTAACTATAGTAGACAATTTAAATAATGGTGATGACAGTAATAATAAGAAGCAATAAAAATAGTTATTTGATGAGTGTGAAATATTTTACAGATTCTTAGAAATCAAATGGTTGACTAATTCTTGAAGATTTTCACCACACATGACCTAAGCTAGAGGACAACATAAAGGAATTAAGGATTAGGTAATTGTTTTAGTTTACTCTTAAGTCCCATTATTAATGAGCACACAAAACTGTGCACAAAATTAAACCCAAAATCTTCATATTTCGAGAAAAGTATTATTTATTTGATTCCCTGAGTAAGAAGATTCCAGGTTTGATCAAGTAAATCATCTGACACCATTTATGGATAACCGCTTTCTGCTAGACATGGCTGAACTGCAGTAGGCAAAACTTATCACCAGAATTTAAGAATTTCATCTCAACGCCAATTATTAGTAAATATATGAAGAATATTTGGTTTTAGATAGCTTTTTGGGTAATTCTAATCTGTTACAAAAGCTTACTTATGGTTATTATTATTGTTGCGTAACAATCTTCCATTGGAAAGTATACATGTAAATAATAGCAACCTTCAGTATATATATATAACACATCTGACAATCTGATAAGTGAAACTTTCAAAACTTTCATAATAGTTTGGATAACACGTATCAATGAGAATTCGTTGTAATTTCATATAATTCTCAGTATAGGGTTGTGGAGATTGTTAAGTTTTAATTGAGATCATGAAACGATCAATGTTAGACCACGTCTGAAAAGCTGGAAGCACCGGACGGCCGTTTCATCAATGGGATGTGTTTGCGTAATATCGTGGATTGGTTGAAGTTAAATATTACCACTATTGGATCCCAGCTCAATGGTCTGGAATTTAAGCGTTTGTGCGAGACCGAGGGTCCTGCATTTGAGTTTCGCGTGCGGGATTCATTTGCACTGCTGAGGAGTCCCATACTAGAACGAAACGGCCGTCCACTACTCGTAGGTTTTCAGTGGTGATTTATAATTGGTCGGTATATAATTCTGTTCAAAACAGCTTATATAAAAAACATTAAACAGTAAGACGTAAACATAAGAAAAAATTATAATTTTTTTCTAAAGGGTGGATAGATGAAAAGTGAATATAACACGACATTTGAAACATTTCTAGATAGTTATTTAATACAATAAGAGAAATAATAGTAACAATGATGGAAAGAACAATAAACAAAGAATGAATCATCTTGACATTTATTTCCAGGTCTATCACATGCTGGTTTGTCATGCTTTCTAGGATAATCAACAACAATAAGAATAGGAGATATGAAGAAGAAATAATTAGATCGTAAGGAGTAAAATATTCTTAGATGTTAACGATGTAAATTGGTGACCAGTTTATGAACCTTTATCTACATAATAGAATATCAATAATATGTTAAAAATACAAATCAAATAACTATAGAGACAAGTATAAGAAATAAATTTTTTAAAATTAAGATGAATAACAAATCCCTACCATTACTAGTAAATAATATTAAATGAAAAGGATAGAACATCCTTATTTTAATTTAAAAGCTTGATGATATAAGTGGGGATTTCCAAAAAATGATGAGTTTGTGTATGATTCCGGATAAACATGCACCAACCAACTTAAGGAAAAACGAATCCAGTTTTTTAAGTATTCAGTTAGTAGACTTCAGGTATTCAGTTCTACAAGAATGTCAAATAAATTAACTTATGGACCATATTACATCTCAACATAGGAAGACCGTGATTAACATTTAAGACTAAATTTCTAACTCTGTTACACTTGTAACATTAATTTGTACGCTACAGTCTGTTAGTTATTACTAATGTATATCATTTATTTAACTTTAAGTAATAAAATAACCCTCAACATATTAATGTAAGAAAGATTAAAACCGATTAGAATTATTACAAGTTAGTACTTTCTAAGTTAACCTTTTATAGATACAATTTGTTTTATGAAAAATGATGTGAAAAACAAATACAATTTCATGTGGTATTAGCTAAAAAGCAGATTCAAGTTCTTGTATACTTGTATTTCATGTGTTCAACAAAAGTAAAAAGATATTTTTAACTATCATGTACGTCATTTAAATTGTTTCTAATTGTATTTTTGTTCATGATTATATCAGTTGTTTAGTCACAGCTTAAAAGCATCGAAGTCAATAATAAGACAATGCTGGGATCTTGGTCATTTTAATATTCATGGTTTCCGATCACAGTGTTCTTTTTAAAAAAAATTTGGTACCCAAACAAAATTCAGTAGTCCATTTTCTAAGCTTATACTCTTTATGTGTTTGGTTCGTAGTTTTAAATAATAAATACTCAAGGAATCTTGCTTGTAATCTCAAAGACAAATGAATTATATTTGACTCAGACCAACTTTTACTGTATATGAAAAGTAGTGACCTGATGTAAAATCAGAAAATGTGACCATTTCATCGTGACTGATTCTTGGTTCTAAGACAATATCATGTATTGGAGACACCTGTAAGATATGAGACTACAATATTCCTCCACACATTAGAGAATTCGACCTAGCAACAGTAAAAAAAACTATGCAATTGAGTTTAGATCAATTGAAAAGTTAACAAGAAAAAATGTATAAGACCACATATCAAGAGAAAACATTTACAAAAAGCGAAAACAGAAAATTATTTTCTATATTATTGTTCAATATAACAATAAACTGACGTAAAATATATGGATTCATTATAAATGAACTTATGTTGATAAACAAGGAATAAGTTCTGTACTATAACAAAAATCAAAATTCCACATATACACAATTTCAACAAGAGTTTACAAACTCTTAGGACAATTTAAGGTGACGTATGAAAAACCAAATAATATCGATATATTTGAAAAATTTCATGTACATAATCAATTTCTCAACGATTGGATAAATTAGACCTATACTTAACGAGATAATCAATCCATGATGTAAGCACTGATTATTACTATAGGTTTGTGATTTATCTATAGAACAAATAGGCTATTTTAGTGACAACTCATTTAAGATGAACTGAATTCTCTCTAATAACAGTAATATGAATTTCATCTATAGGAGTGTTATAAAATAATAATAACTGATTGAGATTTAAGAAAGGTAAATAAATCCGGTACCAATGATTACATCCTAATCATAAATTTTGATAGGCATTTTTTAAGACTGTCGTTAAGATGAAAAATAAATATTGTTGATTTATTTGGTTAAAGATCAATAAACTGAACTGCTCTGGGTCACTGCATCAAAGTCTAGGTGTTCCGGAGTATTGTTGTAATCTAAAATATCATTAAAATGTTTTGTAATCGTTTTACTTGTCTAGAATATTCTAAAATCACTCTAATCCCTAATTAAGATTAAGTGTAGATCCATTAAAAGATAACTAAGCAACTGTAAAATATTAATTTAGATCTACTCAACACCTACTTTAACGATTCAAGAAATTTATGAATCCGAAAGTTATTGATTGATGACGTAATTAATCGTCACAAGTTGTCAGAAATTGACTAGAGATCTTAATCAGTAGGTTCTTACTTAGTAGTTTAAAAGTATCGTGGTCACCGTGAAATCTAAGAGATTCGCGAATCGATGTAGATTCAAAATTTAGGTGTTCATTTTTTTATTTCCAGTTGATATTAGTTCATGATAAAATCTATCTACAAATTGCTATATATTTGTAAAAAATTGCAGTTCAATAAGTATATATTTATCGATATAAAAATTTGAAATCTCTCAGTGTGATTCATTTGTCGATTCGATTATCGAAATAACAAACGAAAAGGTTCCTTTATAATTTAGCCTTGAGTTAAATTTGAAAAGACAAAAAATGTCATCTTGTAGGATATGATGAAAAAAGGTTGGTAGAAACTTACAGGTGAATAGGAATTAGGACACACAATAATAATAATAATAATAATAATAATAATAATAATAATAATGGTAAAGAAGTAACAAATCAATAGAGAATAGGCTCGATAAAACAGAAATTAAGGAACAAATGTGAATCATTAGTCAAATCTTTTTATAAAATATATCTATATAGAACGAAATTAACCGATGGACAAAATAAGATTAAACATTAAGAAAAAGATGAAATAACGTTATATTTTGTTTATTATATAACTATTATAATATGTTGTTTGATATCTTCAAGTGTCGGGACGAAACAGAGGGTTCGTACTAGAACTAGGCGGACCTCCAGCGCTTCCTACTTTTCGATGGTTGCCAAACGAAAATCAATTAATAATGTAAACACCAAGTTTTAGGAACAAAACAATTCTGTTTGTTTAGAATAGGAAGTTTATATCGTCCACTGAAATAATCTAACTCACTAATCTAGACTGAAATCACCATTCAATAACTTAGGAAAATTAATGACGTATGGAATCATTATTAATATTCAGAAAAATATTACTGAAAGTAACGATGAAATGAATAAAGACCAAACACGTTGATTTGAAAAATATAGCACCGAATGAAAATCAGGATTTAAACGGTTTGGCCATTCTTGGTAACAGCTGGTCACGGTTTACCAATCAGTCTTCCGATATTAAAGTCAGTTTTTACTAATTACCCTGATCTACTGGTAAACGTGTAAATATCTTAAAAAGCAGTTTTGTAAATAAAATTTATCGAAATTCGTTCTGATTATTAAACATTCCTCATTGATTGTAAGACGTTTCGTTTATATTTACTGAAACAATTCTGACAAAAATAGACGCTCACCAATAATACACTGTATTTGGGATTAGTCTGTTGTCCATAGTTAATCATCTAACAACCAGCCGATACAAAATAAAATCACTTAATATTTTGTACAAAATTGTATTCTATGTGCGATTAGTACTCCACCACACACGGAGAACAAATTTGGGAACATTTATCCGGAATTACCTTCGACACTATAAAGTTGTGTCAAATTAGGTCTTTTGTCCAATATCAAATTTCAACAAACGCGCGTAGCTCATTATAGTTATTAGTTACTATACTTTTATAAATTTTCATGAAACCATTTATCGGTTAATTTCACTTGGTACAACATAGACTTAAAGCGTTTTGACTCTTTGAATAAATATCCATTACATAGCAGTATGCTTTTTGATCGTTTCACCGTGAATAGTCACTTTATGGTTGTACCCACTTGAAAAAATCGGCTTATAGTCGTGTGAGTTTTGTTGTTCTCTCAAACCATCTGTTAAAATTTATTTTTGAAGAAGAGCTATCAGATATATGTAATATTAATTAACTATATGATAGTAAACGAAGCTGTTGTTTGAAGAAGCCAATTTAAGATACTAAACCAAGGTACTTATTTGATATTTATGCAAAAACCTATTCGTATAGAAAATAAACTTAATAATTACAGAGTGAATATTAAAATATATATAATAGTATTGTTTCATAACACTAAAAACTACATCGGTAAACTGACACGAATGCATGCATGCAATACATCGTGAATGGTTTGTATAAACATAGAGGCAAGGAGAAAGAGGAGGGAAGTAAAAAAACTTCAATGAATTTATTTGTGAAGCAGTCTAATCCCTTCTATGGCAGGACATATTTCGAAATGCATAAATTAAAATTGATGACAATCAATAAAACCATTGTCTCTCAGTTTTGTTCGGTCAGATTTTGTTTTCACTGTTTAGTGAATATAGCTTAAACTATAGTATAACAAATACAGTTTCATAATAAGTAAGCTTTGTGGTTAGAATTTTCTCAACATCTTTTATCTGCCTATCCAATCTTCACTATCGTTTCATAAATCACTTAATGGTTTATCTTTACTAAGAGGTGGTGAGGTATGGATCAAGGGGAGAGAAAGATTTTTATGTGAATACTGTTACACATGACAAGACATTCGTACGTATATATATGTAAAGGAAAAGTTTGTTTTGTCTAAACACTATTAAGTGAATCGATTGATTGTACATAGGTGCAATCAAGGTAGGAACAATAGTTATGTGTTTTAAACTATCCTTACACAACAGTCATTTCTATTTCGTCTACTTTTAATGATTATTTCGAACTAATAAAGTACAATTTTAAAAAAAAAACTGGAAGAACATTATGATACAATTTCATCTTGTTTTAATGTCATAAAATTTGATGAATGATTCATTACGAGATTAATCAATGTTTTTCTAAATATTTTTTAACCAAAACCTTTTTTCAAAGAGCAATATATTTATTTATAAACTATGAAAGTATGTTAAACTCCCTAAAGTATTAATCATAAGTTATAATTTCTCGTTCACTTGTAAAATCTGTCAACATCCTCAGTTAAAGATCAGATAGAAAATTAAGAATAATCGTTTCAAAAAATTAATGAACAACTGAAGTTATTATGAATTGTTACAATATGGCATAGTTAAGATAAGGTGAAAATAATGTGCGAATATCATCTGCCTTAGAGTATATTTTTTGGGGACACAATCTACCAACTGACAAATAATATCAGTTATGAAACACAGTATCTATAAATAGGATCCTTCAATCTACATATTTAAAAAGAAATGAAATTACATCGCACTATCAATAGATGTACATGGATTTTTAATAATAATATTTTAAAATAATGTTTTCTTTGTCTAAATTTCCATCTATTTACTCATTAAATATTATCTTCAATTAGTTATTAATAGTGAATATCATAGTAGTAATAATTACTAATCTACAATGAAACCATTTATAAATTCGAATTGAGTATCAGTATATACATACACATTCATTAAATGATAAACTCACTGTTTGGTGGATATACCTTCACGAGCTCTAAAAAAATCAATTATTATTCGTGTATTAAGAAATATAGTAATGATGGTGATAAAAATTACAATGATAGTGTAAATACTAGATAAAGTAATAAACAATAATTATTGTATGTTTGATTACTTAATAAATGTAATAAATGTAACATAAATATCTTCTTTAACAGTATAGTTAATTTAAAAGAACGTCACAAATATTAAAGAATGATTTACATATTAAACAAGCTTAATAATATTGTAATTATTATCAGGACTACTTCATCAACGAATTTCGTAATTTGGTTTATATATTTAATAGCAAAGTTGCCTACATATACCCATGAGCTATAAACACTCTGAGTTTGTTTTAGCATGAAAGATTCCTGCAGATTCTTAATCGTCTGATCTCTCATAGCTTGTTGAGTCGAACGCTAGGAAGTGTGTATTGTAATTGAATTTGACCGGGAGATTATAACACTAATTTTTCTCATATTTATCTCCATACGTTTATGATCAGTCGGTTCAATTCAGCCACATTCAACTTTTTTCAAACGCTTGACACAACTAGCTAGGAGTGCACAGAAAGCTTTACAACCGAAATTGAATCAGTGTTCATAACATGCGTTATAGACACGTATTTTCACTGACCCAGACAGAGATATGTAAGCTGGGATCAAGGTAAGATGAACAATTCTCTTACATTAATATGTCCATTTTTGAATCTCTCACCTATTATGTGGCCTTGAGACAGCATGCGATCTGTCTACAATCGCCCAGACTGTCACATCCCTCCTGTAAAGGCTCTGTTTTTGCAATAGACTGAAGTGAAGCCATATAAGGGTTTATGCCATTATCAGTGTTGTTGCTACGTTTCAATATTTTTAGTTTGACCTTTTTATGTTTGACACAAATGGCTTAACACTTTTGTTTAAAATGTATTACATCGTATCACATACTTTCAAATTTCATCTTTTCGTTGTATTGGTTAAGCGTTTATTCGAGTTTTTCATTACAAAAAGTCACTGAATCATCTTGGCCATATGAGATTATCCATCCGTTTTTCAAAGCTAAATAAGTACGGTATAATGCACTCTTGGACATTTTTGTCTATTTAGTGGTTGAGTGCTGCACATGGGAGCGTAAGTTTTACTAAACATTTCATTTTAAGCCATAACTTTTTCAATATTTATATCTTGTATAAGGCATGTTGGAATACACCATACCGATATGTTCACACCAGATAGATTTCGTTAACTTAATATGATGAAAATGAAATCTCCAGAAAAGTTACTCTTATATGCAGTGCTCACTTACTAAATGAAAGATAAAATACCCGAAAATGATGGATACCGTGCATACTGAACAATCGAAAATGAATGAACAACAATATAGAATAACTATATTGCTTAAAACCATCTACACTAATTGTTATGTGAAACATGTTTAAAATTAAAGATAAAACTGCGCTTTTGTTACTGGAGATTTGTATAGACACCTAAACTAAATAATGAGTATTTTCCTCATATCTTACAGTTTTCTGTCATATAAAAACTTGGCGAATGTGTAGTAGTTGACTGTTACTAGACCGAAGCTTATAAAAAAAATTACTTGGTAAAATATACCGCGGTTTGTATTAGTGGGACTCTAATTATTTGGATAAAAAATAAAGTCCCAAAAAGAACCTCAGTATATCAGATAGATTACTTATCTAATTAAATATAAATGTCATTTTTAGGTACTGATATAAACGAATCACAAAAACGTATTTGTCACAATAACACCAAGAAGAAATAACTAATCAAACTGGTAAACGAATAGTGAATAAGTACGTTTATACTTTAGAAGAGGATGCAGGAAGAATATAACTACATAAACGAAATATATTTATCCTATTAAACATCTGCTGAAATATCCTTGAGCAACATGTTGCTGTAGCTCTTCTAAATTTACCGTACGTCCCAAGACCGGGTAAAAGAGGTGAGTTGGGGATGTGGTCAGCAACCCCATAACGTAGAAAAAAACAATACTAAAGGTACGCTAACCACAACAAAGAATTTAAACCACTTAAACTACTCCCTGGGAGTTCAAGGATCTTTATTCAGAATAATTATGATGCCTTACGGTGAAAGCCGATATTCTTGGGAAGTCACGAGATCGATGCTACTTCCAACAACCAGAGCAACAATTAATATGAGTACATGGAATGTTCGAACAATGTGGAAGACTGAGAGGACCAATTAAATAGCTGTGGAGATGATATATTCATGCATAAAACCAGTCAATTTTTTGTAAATAAGGGGAAATTAAAATTAAACACAAGATTAAAGAATCGATATCATCGGTAAAATTTTATTTTCAAACTTTTCAAACTTTTTGGTGACGATTTTCAGTAAACGCCTTGTTTATGAAGTACACACACGTGGCGTCATTCATGCGATAGGATCTTAAAAGGGAAATTTTGAAGGTGAATAATGTAACACCTCGTTTTTAGACATGATAATACCTTATACTTCGCAATTCCAAATGCAAAAGTATTTACTATCTCAAAAACTGACTGAAGTTTTAATTATATACAAAAGATCAATGTTCTTATAATAGTAGAAACACGAATTAGTAACAATACTAGTTATAATCATAATAATTCAAAGATAATTGATACGTAATGTGATAATCTCATTATTTTCTATAGGCAATAAAATTTGTTATGAAGGCAAATAATCCACTTTTCAATGTACCTATTCAAAATAACACTAATCAATGGGAAAATCATTCAATAAACAGAAGCACCTGAATAGTTTGTCTAATTCTTCAACTCCACCAATTTTATTCTAAACTTATTTAAAAAGGTTGGCGAAAAATTTTGTGAAGAAAACCCATTGCATGAACTGGGTCTATAAAGTTGAAATCTTGTGATCAGATATATCAAAATCCTCATAGTGGTACTTGAATTTCATAGCTAACGTTATACACAAATGTCAAAGACTTTCTAGTGTTTAATTGCTTATCAGCCTACGTTGGTCCAGGGTATGATATTAGTCTGGTTATTATTATCACTGTTAGGTATTGATTATTATTATCATAATGTAACATACTAATATAGATTTAAAATATTATAGCGATATGCTCTAAAATACACATTCAATTTACATTATACTTTTCAATATATAAACCAAATTTATCTGTGGTACAGTGTTTGAATAAAATAGTAATGAAATATTTAGATTTATAAATTAAACTTCTGATGTCCTAAGCATAGTGATAAAGAAATCATGAAACCCATTGATTACATGTAAATAACATATAAACAATAACTAAGGTTTTGTTTATAATAATATGTGTACTGCATTATCACCATAAAATAGGTTTTATCAGTGTATCGTCTCAGTTAAGATTTTTATTTTACTATAAACAATAATATATACATACGAAACTTAACGACAGTACGTCTAAATGGTAAACAAAAAGCCTAGATAGACTCATGAATTCAACTGTGAAAATTGCTGCGATCTCCACAAATCCCCTTACTGATGATAATCATGTGCACACTAGTGACTAGCTTCAAGGGATATTTCCTGGAGTTCTGGTGAGAAGCCGTGACTGGTGGAATCCAATCCGTGTCAAATGTGAGACAGTTATTCACCTCAGACGATGCCTGAAAGGTTGTGCAAGATCATGAATCGGTTGAAGTTAGACGTTAACACCGTCGGATACCGGCTCAGAGGTTTAGAGGTTAAACGTTCGCGCGTGAGACCGAAGGTCCTACTCATGAATCCCGTGCTAGGACAAAATGGCCGTTCAGTGTTTCCAAGTTTTCGATGGTAGTCTAGCTTAGATCGACTCACGAATTCAACTGTTAAGATAAAAAATATACTAATTTTGAAGATCATGAACTTGAAGACAAGGAAACTTTCATCAGAGAATTATATAATATGGTAATTCATCAAAAAAGTAAGGGAACAGTGAACAACTATTTAGAAAATTGTTATCGGTTAAATATCTTACTCTTCATTCGGATATTTACACAGTATGCAAACATTTCAGAAAATCTCAGATCAAAAATTAGTTTATCCAATTATTTACGTATTTAAAAGTTGAAATAATACACCAAATCCGATAACAGATGAAAACTAACATTACAAGCAAAGATGGTTGATAACCAACAATGGGATCCGAGACGCACGTTTCGTCCTATTTGGAACTCGTCAGACCCACACACCTGCATCCCAGAGTTGACGTTCACTTCGGGACTCGAACCCAATACCGTTCGCTTCAAACACCGCAACGTTATTCTCTTACCTACTGAGTCGTGATAGCCCCTAGCTTGTGCGATCCAATGAAGTTTAAATTCATTTGGTATCATTTGTTTTAAGCTTCCTATTGATGTTTAGGGCTGCAATTGATCAGTCTCTTATTGGCAAATGTGTATCCTGTGCGGATTGCCTCTATATTGCAGTCCCAAACACCAGTTGGAAGATTCAAACAAACAATATTGAATGACTACTAAGTCTACAATTTTTATTTTGAATTCTCAGCTTTACGCTCAAATATTAAAATTGTCAAAGCCATTTATCTTTTAGTCTTTGAATATAGTAAAATATAAAAAAGAAATAATTAGCTATTGTGAGTCGAAAACATAGTTTTCTGTTCAATGGTTTTGACATTGATTGTAAAAACATAAAGTCTAAAGAAATAATTGAAAATCAGATTAGAGTTACATGTAATATCCATTCTATTTTTTCTATGTGTTCACATAATTATTGACTACTATATCAATTAATACAATGATAATTTTCTGTAACAACAGAAACCAAGCAAAAAAGTTGTTGAACTAAGTAAGAATATTCTAAAAATATTATTGTTATTCTTTGTCAGGAAGCATTTTTAAGTAGTTTCATTGAAAAGAAACTCTACTTCTACCTAGTTTGAAATCTACAGTTATACAGAATTGTTTTTAAAATAATATTGAAATATTTTCCTCTTTTTAAAAAAAGATTGGCATAATAAGTTAAAATGTCACACATTTCA